GGCTGATTTTATGAAATATGACTTATCCCAACTGCTCACTACTAAGTTATTGCAACATCCAGCTGCAAGCATCCCCCATGTGTGTCCTGGGAGCTTTCCCCATACCTCAGGGACTGCCAAAGGGTTTTGTTAGGTCAAATGACCGATGGCTGAATAAGCTTGAATCTCGAAGAAATATTTTCTACAAGTCTCAGGCCACAGATTTTCACTCCTAGGAGACACTTCTGGCACTGTCTGTTACTGCAGACGTGTTGCACAGTGAACAATCCCACTGGATTACTCTGGGGAGCCCTGGGGTGTTGAAGCCCTGGACAAGGGGTGACACCAGGAGGAGGCAGAGACACGGGCAGAGTAGGAGCCTGACACACAGAAGAGCTCCTCTGTCTTCCATAAAAGACACTTGCAGCCACCGTCCCAACCAAGCCATGTGCAGGTAGGTGCCAGGAAGGGTAGGCAAGGGCTGGCATCACTCTGCATGGTCACAGCTGCTCTGACCCACTGAGACAACCGAGAGGGAACAAACCCATAACGAAATAAACCTCTTTTGCTTTCCAAAAAACATCCTTCCTATAACTTAACCTCTTTCTCCTGGCAGTACCATCCTGTGCACAAGAGCTCAGCCACGACACGGTGTAAGAGCAGCAAACTTCAGTGCCCACAGTTGCGACAGCAGAAAAGAAAGATAACTGCACTTCTAACAGCAGCAGTAACTTATCTTGGGGAAACCTTTCCTGCTAATGAGGCTGTTAGGTTCAGAAATTCAGTGAGAGTTGAGAGGGCTTGTGCTGCTGCCAGCCCACGGTGGGTGCAGGCAGAGGGCAGGCAGGTGTGGGAAAAGCAGCTCAGGAGACCACCACTGTGGTCTCAACCTCACCACTTTGCACCTTACTGGAGTTCATTTTTTCAGTGCTAGCACTGTACCAGTAAGTTGGCTTTAATTTATTTCTCCTCAGGAGAAAAAAAAAAAAAAAAAATCCCTCTACATCAGCTATTGTCTCCTTTGCCTCCTCTTGCCTTTGGCTACGTGCTGGTTTCAAGTATCTCCCGGTAGAGCCGCACCTGCCATCCAATCCTAGGCTTCTGCAAAGGATTTTCTGCATCAGTGCCCACAGCCTTACAGGTCCTGGAGAGCCTGTGGCTGGCACTGCTGGGGGCAACTGGGGACAAGCCTGTGTGTTGATGAGTGCCAGCTGCTGAGCGGGACACCTGGGCTGCGGCGGCTGGAGGCAGAGGTAGAGTGTGCTGACCTGGAAAGGCAGACATCCTCCCATGCCTTGCAGAGCTGCTTTGAGAAAGGAGCTCCTGGCTTTTTTCCTTGGAGTTTAACTCTGCCATACTCCTTGGTCCAGACTATCCCGTAGTAGAGGCAGAAGTGAGCCAGCCTTGTGGGAGAACCAGCTTTCAGGGAAAATGCTTGGAAGGTGGCAGTTGTAGCCACATGGGACTGCAACTCCCCTTTTGCAGAAAGCCATGGGACAGTGCCTGCAGTGCGTGCTCTGGCACAGCCCATCAGTGCCCATCACACCCCAGGCAGAGCCATCGCACCCCAGCACCAGCCTCGCTCCTCATCGGCATGCCAGGCACACGCATCCCAGCAGCACTGGGCTCCTCTTCCTGCATGCAACCCGTGTACCCAAGTGGCAGCAGCTGAAAGGCTTGGAAAAGCGGAGCAAAGCTAGAGAAAGGGAGGGAGGGAGGCCCAAAGCCACAGCTGAGCACAGCACAGCAGCTCAGGCTGCAAAGCTAAGGCTGGCAGCATCGCTCCAGTTACCCGCGTGACCTTGAGAGCCCTGGACAAGCTGCATGAGAGGAAAGGGAAAACCTCCAGTGGCAGCTCTGCATGCTGCTGGGGACAGGGGGGAGTCAGGCAGGGGACAGTGGGGTGGGTGCCATTTGGGATGTGCCACCCCAGTGATGGAGCTCGCCAGATAGACCAGACTGTTTTTACCTCTGTCTCAGCCCCAAAAACACAGCTCACAACACCCACACATTCTTTGGACAACATTTTGGTGGGTCTTGGGTTTTGTTCCCATGTGAGCAGATGTGTAGAAAGAGGGGAACACCTCATGTCACTCCTCTTGGACTCAGCAGCACTTGCACAGGGCAGCAGGAGCAGGAGCGGTCTCTGCCTGTGTTCCCCAGAGGGGAGGCCGCCAGCCCCGCTCTGCCATGCAGGAGATGGTGCCAGCACACAGGCAGGCTCCCAAGATCACAGTGCGTGTATCTTGAGAGCTCTGAATAAATATTTAAAGGTGGAAGGAAAAAAAACCTACTCGTCTCTGCGAGCAAGTTCTCTGTCTTTGCGCTGGGATTTGAGACAGAGACAGACAGAAAAATGACAAAGGAGACACGGGTTTCAGCAATCATGGGCACATCAGAAGCAGTGGCTTTCAGATGCTGGCTTTGCTGAAAGACAAATTCCCTCCTGGTCATATGCCTGACAATCCCAACAGCCCCTGGGGACTGCAGGTCTGCTTTGCCTGCAGACACAAGGGGCTGCAGGGAGCCCTCCTCCATACACCCCTCCATCCCAAAGAGCAACTGGAGCCAGGGCATTATCCAAATCCTTTTCTAAGCCACTTAAAGCTGGTTCTGCCCCATGGGGACATGTGACCCCTCCTTGCACTGTCCTGCGAGCAAGTACAAGGCAATGGGCTCCGCATCAGGGTGTTGGACAAATGTTCACAAATCCCTGTCCCCACAGTAGGGCTCTGTCAGAGGAGCAAACCATGGCCCAAGTTTTATCCATGCCTCACATGAGTGATTGCCGGGGGGAAGGATGGGTGGTGACAGCTTCACGCAGCTCCCAGCCCGCCCTGTGCTGGGCCATCGCTCAGAGGTGGTGGCTGGAGCAGCCACAGAGAACATGATGTTCTGTATCACAAGGATGTCCTTAGGATGCTTTTATTTCCAGAGAGAGCTCATTAGCTCTGGTTGTGCAGGAGTTAGAGGGTTTTTTTCTTCTGTTACCAAGAGCTGCAAAACTCCACTGAATAACGTCTCTGAGCATGGGTGGAAAGAAGACAGGGCACGGTGGGGAGAGCAGCAACTAAACCAGAGATAATCAAAGCTGCTGCCGCAGCCTCATATCACTTATGATCTCCATTTCATTTGGATTTCCCAGCCAGAGCAGTCTTTGCTCACTCAGCCCCACTCACCATAGTGCCAGGGCTGCAGGACTTGGCTCTACTCTGCTCCAAGAAGGAAGGAGCTGCAGAGAGAGTTTGAGATGGCAGGGAACTGGACACAAGGCAGCCTGCTGGATCAGATGGGATGCCAGGAGCTAAAGGAAATTGCACATGCACTAGGCAAGGACAGAGACTGTCCCTGGCACTGCCATAGATGGGGTTTATTTAATAGAGGTACGTCCTACTCAGGTGGGCACAGCAGGGTGCTCCAGCAGTGATGCCTTGCTGGGATTGCTCTGGAGCAGCCACCTCCTTACCAAGCCCTGACGCTCCTCTCCCATTGCTGCACGCGCTGCGTGAGATGCAGCCAAGTAATCACGTACCAACAGCAGGAGATAAGCCACCTTCCCAGATAGGATCACAAGCCCCATTATCTCCTTAACCCTTATGCATTCACTTATCCATCCCAGATCTATTCCTCCTTATCTAAATTCTCCTTCTGTTCTTTCCTATCTCTCACCATGGTTGGTCTCAGAGCATCGAGGCCCCTCCAGATGCAAGGGAGGCAGCAGGAGAGCCTGATACCCTGGGCAGCCACTCACCACAGCTAATGGGAGAGACTCCAACTGACTGGCCCCGGCGATTTAAAGTTAATAAAATGTTAAAAGCAGCCCTATAAATCACCCATGCAGGAAGTGACCTGGACAGGAAGCCTAACGAGTTAGCAGAGGTTTTATTTAAAAGCCATTTGTCTGAGAAGTGCAACGCAAAGAGTCAAATAACTCTTAGGAAAACAGTAATGATGGAGCTACTGGGAGGATTAGAGCTGGCTGGATATTTACAGCCAAGGATGTCAGCCATCCCAGTCCTAACTGGCCCATGCTCCCCAGCTGGAGCACCCCAGCTGATCCCAGCTCCAGAGCTGCAGGTAGGGAGCTCCCAAAGGAAATTAGGACAAGCCAGATCACAGCCCTGACTTACATTTTTAACTTGCTGAATCCATTGTGACCTTCTCACAGAACTCTCAAAACAGGAGTCTCATGCCCATGCCCACCATGCAACAGGCTGGTGACATCCTCATCTTCCTCCAGGCCCCCTCCAGGCCGCGGATCACACACAGAGAAGCTGAGATTCTCGTATGCTGCTGCACACAGCTGACACCTCTGTTTGCACTGAGAAGCAAGAGGCCCCTAACATCTCAAAACCCCAAAGTCATCCCAGAAATCAGGTTCTTGGTTTCTAAACCCGACTTCCACTCTTCAGCCATGAATACTGATTTTGCATGCATCAGGATGGCAGTCAGCCCTGGCATCAGCTTCAGCCCCTGCTCACTCCCCACAAGCTGAGCTTTACTTCTTTAACCTTAAAAAAATCCTATTGCCAAGTGCAAGGAGCAGATAAGGGTATTTCACTTGGAAGGGGACTCAGCCCCCTCCCAGACACCATTCCCCAGCCTCCCTTTGCTTCCCCGCCACAGGAAGCCTCCAAAATACCCCAAAGGCCTTTTACAGTGGGAGGAAACGCAGTGCGGGCTTGGGAAGCCTCCAGAGCATCGTTAAGAGGCAAATTATAGACAATTATCCTCAGAAGTACATCAGGGAAGCAGAGGCAGTCACAAGGCACCAGTCCCACCCAAGCCCAGCTCCTTGCAGTAGCACAGGAGTTTCTAAAACTACGAGCAAATTCAGATGGAATATAATCTGCAAGCAACAGGTTTCACCAGGAGCTACCTCACCTTCAAAATCACCTCTTAATTGCAAGAGAAGGGCAGACGAGGGGAAGAGGAGCAGGCAGGAGACGCAACAGACACAAGAAACAACCTGATTTCACTTGCCAATTTGCCAACCCCTCGCTTTTCACAGACATCCTTACCTTGGGAGGGATGCAGGAGGCTGGGTGTGGGCGCAGCAGGTTCTCCTCGTCAGCAATGGGCACCTTCCAGGGGAGCAGGGGAGCCTAACAGTGCCAGGGGGCTGCGGCCGGGGGGCTGCTCCGGCGGTTCAGCGGGGGCTGAGGGCAGCTCATGGCTCCCGGGCACAGGGGGCTGTGGATGAGAAGGCACAGAAGATGTCAAGCACGGAACTCATGGCTTTGAGCACACACCAAGCAAACCCAACCCCACAGCAAGTCTGAAAAGTTAAGAAAGCACAGAAATTCATATATTGATACTTTTCTATCTTGCTCGTATTTCCCCTCCTCCCCATCATCAAGGAAAGAAGAGGAGTCCAGTGGGATCTGCTTAGATCTGGACACTAAGCAGGTGCACATACTTGGAGAGACCCAGCACTCCCTGAGGGGCTCCTGCCAGGTGCAGGGTGATTTTTGGGAGCAGTTCCCAGAGGGTGTTACTGTGCTTCCAGCATCATTAGTGGGGAGGGAGAGAAGGCACAAGCTTTCCTGGGCAAGCAGCCCCCTCCCTCACACCGATGCACACAGCCATGAGCAGACAACAGAAGGACCCCCCATCCACATGGGCCCAGCCAGGGGTCTCACAAGGCCAGGGGAGCTCTCTCCACTGCTCACAAGTCAAGGGCTTCCTCAGAAATGCTAAGAGAAAGCAGGTCCTTGACCTGCTGATCTGCAATCACTCCTCCTGACTTACAGCACAGACAGAGAAGCAGAACCCTGTCCTGATGAAGGAGGTGCCACCTTCACTTTCGTGTGCAGCACTCTCCTCTGCAGCAGGGTTTGACTTATACATTTATTTATCAGTGAGGTCCCCAAGGCAGAGCTCACAACCTTTTTTTTGCGTCTCAAACAGTTTCGAGCAGCGTTTAACAAATTAATAATAAAGTGATGGCGCCTTGAAAAATAGACTCTCCTGTCCTCGGAAAAGGGGCCACGTCTCCCAATTACTCCAAAGGGCACCACTTCAGACCTCACTGAGCAAATGGCATTTAGGCACAGCCACCTTTTAATGGGGCTGATGTGATCCTGCCACGGCTGCAGTCAAGTGTATCTTCAGCTATCCCCATGCTGCACAGCGAGAGGGCAGAGAAGAGGACGGATGGAAGCAAGTTAAAGAATACCTGTTAGCTCAAGTATTTTTTAGCAGCCATCCCCAACCTGGGGTCTGCCATCCTATCCAGAGTTGCCAGCTGCGCTCAGCATCTCTCACTCATGAGAAGTATTCACTAGGTTTGCGGCAGAGCCTGGCAAATATTTGCCAAGGATTCTTCCAAATCTCCAAGCGCACCATGAGCTTGCTGCAAATTTGTTTGCTGATCATGGTCCTTGAGCTAATTTGAAAACGGAGAGCAAAGAATAAGGCTGCTGTACAGTGTAGGGGAAGGCAGGCAAGGATGGTCCTTTTCCATAGGGAAGACAACTCCTCGGACCCTAATGAGGGTTTGGTAATTACCAGCTGCAGCACTGGAGTGCAGCAGGGTCTAACACCCAGCCCCTCATGCTGATTGTGGCTGAGGGAAGTGATCTCTCAGAAAAGGCAGCACCAGGAAATGGAAGGATGATGCTGGGGATGGCAATAGCATCACCTCCGAGGTATACAGGCAGTGATGTCCCCAGTCCAAGCTCTCTGTGTGGCATCTTGCAAAGAAATGCTGGGAAAGCATCCTCTCCCCTTCCCTGCTCCCTCCCCAAAGAGGTTCTGATCACAGTTTCTCCTGTGGTTTCTCCTCTGATTTTGGCACCTTACCAAGCTCTAGCCCAGGCCAAGCGCACTGCTAATTAGCTGCGGTAATTAATCACAGTTTTCATTGTTTATTCTTTTGTTCTCACACAAACACCCATGCTGCCTGGTGTGGGAAGCTGCCACGGTGTTCATGGAGCACCAGTACACCTCATGGAAGTGACCCTGGGGAATGGGGGGCACTGACTGCTGGGCTCCCAGATGGAGCCCAGACAGAACCTGGCCCTAGTCCTGCCAGGAAGCAAGCTAAAAGCCAAAGCCATCAATTCTGGGCTGAAACAGTGCAAGAGAACAAAGCCACTCGCTCTTCCAGCCTGAAATTGCTCATGCCAGTACAGCTCAGACCATACTTTTGAAACTCCCAGGTGGCCAGGAGCTGCTGGTGGGTGGGTCATTTAGTCCATTCCCTCTTGGGAACTGAGATTTACGGTGCCTAAAACGTGCCCAGTGCCTACGGTCAAGCCTGGCCTCCTGACACCTCCAGCAAAGCAAGTTCTACCACCTTCCTTGGCAGCTTGCTGAGGCTGCTGCCACCACTGTCGGGGGTATGGAGGGGGCTGCAGCACACGTGCCACCATCCCCAGTCCCTCCTGCAGCCGCCAGTGCCACAGCCCAGTCTTCCTCTCTCCATCCACAGGGATGGTCACTCTACCAGATCCCCCCCATCAGGGAGACACCCCACGCTTGCTCCCAGGAGCGGGCACAGCAGTCGGAGCTGGCACACGGCCCCAGCGCGGAGACAGCCATCCCCCTCTCCCTCCATCCCCCCGCCATCCCCCGCTCCCGGCTAATCCTGCCGCGCACCGAAATCCTGCCTTTGTGCTCAGCAGACACACTGCCTGAGCATTAGGCACCCGCCGATCCCGAGCTAATCTCCGGAAAGCTCCCTCACCCAGGGGGGTTCCCATTCCCTGGGGCAGCCCTGGTACCCCACAGGCATGGGGGGACAGGAGGACACCCCGGCTGTGGCTCCTTGCCAGCACCGGCAGGCTGTGCCAGGGATGGATCCAGCAGACTCCTCCGTTTGCTCTCTCTTGTTAGAGATTTTTTTAACTGGGTATTTTTAGAGAAAAAAAAAAAAAAAGAGAGAAAAAAGACACCAAGGAGAGAGAGAAAAGAACTGTTAGTCCAAGGGAGCCAGTGTTCTTACATACAGAGAAATCCAAGTCTGGTGTCCAACAGAGGCCAAGGTTTCCGGGCTTTGACACAGCTGACAAGCTGGAGCACAATGAGAAAATACGCACACAGAAATAGCCAGGCAGGATAAAGGATTTACTGCTCCTTTCACAGAAAACAAAAGAATGGGCTTAAGCACTCCACTTAGGAGTGGTAAAAAAAAAAAAAAAAAAAAAAAAACAGATCTGCAGGAAGAATATTTGAGCACAGGATTACCAGGAGGTGAAGAAAAACCAGATCCTGCCTGTCCTGGATGCAGCAGGGCAGCAGCAGCATCCCCCAATTAGTCCCCTCCTGCCCTGCCCTGGGTCAGAGCATCCCATCACAGACCACATCCCGGCCCAGCCAGCTGCCATGCCAACATCTGCACTTTCTCCCCTCTGGAGCATTTCTCCTGGGCTGATTCTGGCAGTGGGATCACCTGGTTCACTCAAATCCCTTGCCAGGGTCCACAGCCCCAATTCCAGCCACCCCAGCTAATGAGGCTGGGGCTCCCTGCCTTTCAGATATGCTTTTCCATGATTCCAGGCTCTTGGATGCCATCTCCTTCATGAGGAAGCCATCTCAGAGCACCTCTTGGGACCTCAGCTGGGGAGGCCTGATGGAAGGAGAGCCAGGGCTGGCAGGGGCTTTGGAAAAAGCTCCTTCCCACCATATCTCCAGGTTTGTCCTCATTGAAGAGGGAAGTTTGCAGTTCCCTGTAAGTTTCTTCCAACTTGTGATGAAAGAGAAACTCTGGAGAACAGACAGGAACCCAGCTTCCCTGATGAAAGTGCTGCAGTGGGATTTTTGGGGTTTTACTTTCTTTTGTGAAGCGCCAGCCAGAACAGAGCTTTGCAACCAGGCAGGCAGAAGGTCTTACCCTTTCCATGGCAGGAGACCAAGTCTCCCAGCTGGAAACCAGGACAGAACTCACTCCTGGTCCTGCCAGGAAGTGAGTTAAAAGCCAAAGTCATCAATTCTGGGATGAAGCAGTGCAAGATTCACAAACCCACTCAATCCTCCAGCCTGGGATTGCTTATGCCAGAGCAGCTCAGATTATTTCTGAAACTCCCAGGTGGCCAGGAGCTGCTGGTGGGTCATTTAGTCCATTCCCTCTTTGGGAACTGGGATTTACTGTGCCTAAAACAGGCCCCATGGCGACAGTCAAGCCTGGCCTGCGACATCTCCAGTAAAGCCAATTCTACAACCTTACTTGGCAGCTGACACGCTGTTTAATTGCCCTGATAGTTATGCACTGAGGGTTTTTTTGTAAAAAGCAGCTGATTTCTCAGCAGAAATAATACTTGGGAAAGCTTTCTCTCTGGCAAACTCTCTCTATTGTTCATCTCTTTCACATAAAATGTTCCTAATGAAGAGGGAAAGCAGGATCTTGGCTTCTTTCAAAACAATCTGAAATATTATATTAAAAACATGCACTGAGTGTTGACATATTTAGTGCGTTGCTTTATAAAGGAAATTGCCCGAGCTCATTCAGAGCTTGACACCATTAAGACAGCACAGAACTACGTGACTGGGAGGATATTGCTGCAAGAAGTCCCACTTTGGGGAAGTAGGGAGCACCTCAGAGCAGCCAGACAGCCCTGACTCCACCTTAGTGGGAACCTGGAAGCCACCAGCATCATCTCCAAAGAGGGGTGCACAGGCACTCAACATGTTAATGTGACAACTACAGCAGGTTTCAGATCTGTGAACCCTCCCTGCCCCAAACCCTCAGCTCCTCATCTAGACACCTCCAAAGATCCAAGACTGGGAGGACATGGTACGTACCATGCCAGGCTCTCACAGTGATGGGCATCCATGCCATGGGAGCAAAGCTCATCATCTCCCTCAACACACCAAGCCAAATTCCTTGGAAATGGGAAGCTGGTTGTGGTGGCCAGCCAGGTTTCTCTCCCCACCTGACATGGGCAGGGTCCCTACAGAGCATCCGTCCTCTCCCACAGCATCTCTGAAGTGTTCTGGGCTCTGCTGCAAGAGGATTTTCCAGACATTAAACTGATGCTCAGAAAACAAACAGATATAGGAAAAGTTTTCATTACAAGGCTGGTTCGTGTCCAAGAGCAGCCCAGGGGCCTGCTAAGATAGGCAACAGCCTCTCTCCAGAGGCTGGTGTGAGGTATGGCTCTCTGTGGACTCATGGTCCATGCCAGCTCCACATTCGCTTTGCAGGAGCAGGGGCAGGAGAAATGAGCAGGTTTTGTGGCACATTGGCTCTA